TTCCTCCAAATTGTGAGTCAAAAACTTCCAGCTAGCTTCCATACATTCCAAATAATTAAGATTGGAACAGCTTTAGTGTTGGGAGCCTGTGATGCATTAAAATGCAGCTTACATACAGGCAGCTACCTATATTTTTCAACAGACTGTACATTACATTATATGGCTGCTGATCTTTAGGCATAGAAACATTCATCATTTTGACACAGTATAGTGCAGTGATCATAGGAATAAACAGAGACAGAGTCATCTGGACACATTCCTGCTCAACATAATCTACACAAATTCAAAACAGCTAATACACATCTGGAACAGAAAATAAATTCAGACCTCCTTTGTGTGATTCATTCTAAAGAATTCCAGTTTGACAGTGTATTTCATCCACTTGAGCCAGCTAAAATAGTTATAAAATGAAATGATTAATGGTTCTTCCCATCCAAGAGGCATAATAAGATTCATAAAAGCATTCTTGAATGTTGCTTAACTGCTCATTATATCTGATGGAGTAAGTGCTTTTGGAGCGCACACCTGTGATGCTAACATTTCTGAAAACATGCATAGATGAGCAGTTCACAGATTTTAAACGTGAAGGTTGAACTTGGAACATTAAAATATTTGAAAATGCTTTTGCGATTAGCAATCGTTGTGCCCTTCTTCAACAAAATTACACTTTATCTTGTAACAGCTGCCGATGAAGTATGCATCCATAGACAACGTGGTAGATAATCTGACATGCTAGGAAGTCAATTAACCCCTTAGCTGTCACCCCCCTTTTTGAGAATGGGGGTTAAAATGCACTATTCAAACTTAAAAGGTTGTAATTCAAGAATGCTTTGGAATATATACCCAAGTTTGGTTTTGTTTTAAAGTGTGAAGTGAAAACATGAAAAATGAAAGTATGAAACGGTTATGGAAGTTTAAATTTACAGTAAATCAAATATACTGTACTATACATTTATTTTATTTGATATAAAATATATATTTTACAGAATATTTTTTACTATAAAATTACTATAAAATCAAAGCCATAAATCTAACCAAGTAATGTTCCAAATTTGAAGTTGATATCACAAAAATTTAAGTTCCCATGAGATTTTGTTTTCGGCGTAGTACCAAAAATAGCCACCAGGTGCCATTGAATTCCATTGAATTTAGTTGTATACATTCTGCCTTAACAAATTAATACATTTCTGTCCAAATATCACTTCTGACACAAAATTTGCTAACTTGAGACTCAAACCTTTCTGACAATATGTGTTTTGACAAGATTATAAAATGTTTTGATCATAAATTATGAAATATAATGATGCCCAAAAGAGGAGGAGCCTGATAAAATAAGTACCGTTTCTATGGTAACACAACATTCAATTATAAAACGGTTTCACAGGATGAATTCTGAGTTCATAAGCTTTCAAATGATACCTAATTTATGATAACTACTAAAATATCTGTTTTATTAAAAAGGCGATAAATAAATATTATATTTTAGAGGATAATATAGATATATTATAATTTTTAGAGGATAATATTGTACTACATTTTTTTTTTTTTTTTATTGAAAAATATTAGATTATGAACTTAATTAGCTTAAAAACAGAAGTTTCAATGATTTATGGGTGCATCGACTTTTTGTGACAAAGGTCCAAACTCCTGTTATGATGCAGATTTTTGAGGTGCACTCTTGTCTAAATTCATCAATTACTCTTTCTACATAATTTGTAACACAAAACAGGGGTAGAACATCTATTTAGAAGTCTTAGACCTTTCCAACGAAACATAATTTGTTATAATTAGATTAGGATTTAATGGAAATATAGTGAAGTAAAGTTAGGCGTCCTGGTACCAGGACGGTGACAGTTAGAAAATCAAAAATAGCTCGTTTTTTCTCATAATAAAAGTGCTTTCTATTTCTATGGATTACAATCTAGTTGTTTTGGATATGTACACAAGGTCACTTAATGTTTGAATTTTCTAAGTGAGTAATGCTAAGTTCCAATCATTTGGTTTGGCAAATAAATCTTTTAATTTGCATGAGCTTCTCTGTGCATCTTCTAGAAGAATCCTAATCTTTAAAGGGTTAGTTCACCCAGAAATGAAAACCTATATTCAATCTGTTCATCATATAAAGCGATCAAGTCTCTTAAGACTAAAACCGCTCAAATCATATGGGTTAGTTTTACGATCTCTTTATGAATTTTTTTGAAGCGTTATAGTACATCTGTCAACGGAGGCACAGATATACTTCATTTGTTTTCCGAATATGAATGAAAGTCTTAAGGGTTTGGAACGACATGAGGGCGAGTAACTGATGAAGTTTTGGGTGCAGCAAGCAGGTTGATCAAATACACTGTAAAATCCTGTGAGGAGATGCTGAATGACCTCAGCAGGAAGGATTGCTGTGGTGAACTGAACCTAGAGACTCTGTGTGTGTAGGATGATGATGTCCCTTTCTGAACTCAATCGGAACCATGACACAACATGGAAAGCATGACCCGACATGGACAAAGCATTAAAGAGACCATCAGAGCATTTTACCATCCTTACAGAGCCGTGGACGAGAAGCCCCTGGCCATTTTTAGGCTATAAACTGCTTCCACCAATTGAAAATTAAACAGTCACAGATTAATGGAAAGAGTGGTATTCATGAATGTTTCGTGACTATACTAATGCCAACTCGGTCTTTACTTTTTCTCAGTTCTGGATTCTACTGTTTTTCAGCCATGCAATCATCTGAACAAAAGCCACATACTGTCTGAATCGTCAGCCAAAAAATGACAATTCATTGTCCAAAAGTTACATTTAATTTCATCCTTAACTTTTATGAAGCAGTTAACCACATTTCCACGTTACAATTACTTTGACAAATTGGGGAAACAACAATTAAAACTAATGTCAAAAGCAATGCTTTAACACTGCCCCCTAGCTATTGGTTGAGTTGTTCACTGCGCACACAGTTAATAGAGTTTTAGCCTATATTTATATAATATTAGTCTTCTCAGGTCCTAAAAAAATGGGGTCTTACACTAAACTAACCTAAAAATTCAGAAGGCCTATCAGAATATTTTAAAACAAAATGATACAAAAATTATACATATATACCTAACTACCTTTTCCCACTGCATTTTTATTATTTATTTGTTATATTTTTGATGATTATAGCTTACAGCTTATGAAAGCCTTTTATATTATTATCATTTTGGGGTTTTCATAAGCTGTGAGCCATAATCATCCAAATTAAAACAAATAAAGGCTTGAAATTTCTCACTTTGCACGCAATAAGTCTATATAATGAATTTTGCCTTTTAAGTTGAATTACTGAAATAAATGAACTTCTGCATGATATTCTAATTTTTCAAGTTTCACCTGTATGTTCAACTCATGTTTTCCACAACATTAGTAAAAAATGCAGTGGGAAAAGGTAGCCTGTTAAATGAATTACAGGCAAATAAACATAGAAACAAGAAAAACTAAACGAAGCATCAGTCATTTACATACGTAGCCTATTAAAGACATAGGTTATGTCTATTTTTAATTGTAGATAATACTACAAACTTCCCTTTAAACAACAACTGGAAGCTCTCTGCAATTGAAGACTGAACGATGGAGTAGTCAATTAGTCAACAACAGGCTTTTTAAAGTATGGGCTTAGACTCTAGAAGCCCAGACTTTAAAAATACATTTGACTAGAGTATTTAATTACATTTTTCATTGAACTAGCTATAGCCTATGCAAACGTATGTTTCTGAAAAAAAAAAAATAATAATAATAATAATTCGTCATGGAAGCGAGAATTTATAGGCTACATAGGAGATGAACAAAGGAGAAGAGGAAAATAACATGCTCAGCTCTGCAGATGCTGGAGGCAATGCATTAGACTTTACTTTACTATTTGTACGTGTTTGTTCAGTTAAATAAGACAATTATTAACAGAAATGATGCCTTCTTCTGGATAGCAAACTTTTCAGAGTGTTTATTTCTTCCAACCTCTTTAAAATGAGTGATTGTCATAGACACAATAGTTTTACCTAATAACATGATCTCCAGTTTTTTCCGGTCCACTCGAAACCTCTCTTCGGTCCACTCGGGGTCCGGAGGTGCTGTGGGTCCGCTGGAGTCATCCTCAGACACGGGTAGAGGGGAATCAGTGCTGCGCTCGCTGTTGGAGCCCGGGTCAGACTGCTGTAAGTATCCGCTTAAGGGTTCACACTGAGCGGCCATGACTTTCACAGAGCACCGCTGACTCTCCGCAGCCGTCAGATCAGATCATTCTCGCGGAGAGTGAGCGCCAGTCATCGCGGCCACGGGCTCTGTGTGAGTTACACTGACCGGAGGAGTATAAAGTGAGGGAAGGCAAAAGTTGAGCGCCGCCCTTTGTTCAATATGAGCCAGAAGGGGGTCTGTGCGGGTTCCAAAATGTTGCGAGTCCGGTTCAAAGTCAGCTCAACTTATGATGCTCCCATATATGGTGCAACTGTCCAAAACAAATAAACAGACAGAAACACTATTTAAAATAGGCTAGTGTATTAATAAAAATAAAAAATAAACCGAAATATATCATATCTTTGTGTTTGTATTTTATTTTTATTTACACTGGGGACGTAAAAATTACTAATATAATAACTTATGTTATATAATATAATTTATTAGGCTATATAGTAAACAGACGTTGTACAATACAGTTACAGTTATATATTAATAAGACAACTATGCAATTAAATACCATATGATAAACAGTTACTAAACATATTACATGTGATAAATGAATTAAATATTATTTAGTCAATGATGTAATGTAAATAAAATAAGCACAGTATATAAACAGTCTATTATAATATAGCCTAATAATACAGTAAGTTTATTATAAACAAGTATTTGTAAAATACCATTTTACTGTTTACTAGACTAAATACATTTTACATTAAAATAAATAATTCAATAATATCATAAAATAAAAGTTTATAATATAGTAATATAGTATTTTGTGACTTGATACCCATATGTACTTTCTGAATCCGGATCACGTGACTCATGATGCTTCTGCAAGGATGTAGCTTTCAGCTGGACAAATTTTAAAGAAATGAATTTCAAGTACGTACTGTCTTTATTTTCACTTAGATGGACTCAAGGAAGTCGCATTCCTTTCTTTATTCCAAATCTGGCAATGCAAATTATATTACATGGTATTAAAGACGTTGTGGTGTTAGCTTAGTTTGCTATCAAAATGGAGGCGCGCGCGCAGGAGCTGTGTTTACATGAGCGTTTGTTTTCCCATAAGCGTCTGACGCTCTCTTTACCATTGTATCAGTCTGAGTAATCATGTATGATGCCCAATACAAATGTCTAGGGTTGGTGTTTTCAGTAGGCTAAGTGTTTCTGGGTTGTGGCAGGATGTCTGAACATGGAGAGGGGAGCTCATCTGCTGCTTTCAGAACATCATTTGCTGTGGGTAGAGGACTGCCAACCCGAATATCACTGAATCCCCCTCCGCCAGGCAGACTGACCTCTTTGCGCTCCAGAGATCTGACCCTGGGTGGATATAAAAAGGTCTCACCATCTAATGTCAATGGTTCAGTGTTAATTGTGTTGTTGTTTTTTGCTACTGTTTTGTTGTTTTTGTTTTTAAATGCAAAATATGTTACATCAATACAGCTTGTTCAGTTCAACATTAAAAGAATGCACATATCTAGAAACTTTACACTTGACTCACTGAGGATTTCCCCCCACAGAAAACCTTTGTACCAAATGTTCACTCTGTTCGCAAAACTAAAGATGAGTAAGTATTTTCAGCTTTATTTGTAGTACTTATGTTTTATAGTTGGGAGGCAGACATCCTGTAACTACGGCTACTAAAGTGTAAAAAAAAAAAAAAAAATGTTTCAAGTACATGTATATGTTTGTATATATTAGAGTTGTAAATTGGACATTTACTCTCTTAGCCAGCAATGCAGAATTTGCTAATACCTCTAAACTTGTTGTTATATGATTGTGATTTGATTAGATTCAGGAGCCTGTTATAGATATATTGATAATTACAATATTAACTTGTATTAACTCACAAATGCAACAAACAACAACATTAACAATTAATTAAAGAAAACAACTACAACAAAATACTATTTAGTTTTTTTTTTTTAAATAAGGAATAAACAAATGTGGACTAAAGATCAAGTATCATAGATTGAATGTTATAATCATTTTATAACATTTAATCAAGTTTTGTAGTAAAAACTTATTATAGATTTATACAAATGTATATTGGTTTTTTTACTCATTGCATCGATACATAGTCCATTGTTATTGTTACATCCCTAGTATACATATATACAGTATATACTGTACTGACTTCTTCATTTGACAAACAGATACATTTTTTTTTTAAATTAAGTATAGACAACTGCAACTCTCTTTGAAAGTAAATGACAGGTGGTTCTGTGAACTCTTGTTTTCTGGAGGTTACATGAGGAGACTCACACTGCACCAAAGAGAGAGAGAAGAGAGAGGGAAGACAGACAAAGAGAGAGACGGCGACGAGAAAAACCTCAGACTATTCAGTCTCATTCCATCTTTGAGCAGGGTCCTGCAGACACCTACAGGAAACCAGGTAAAGCACACTTCGAAATCACACAATTATTGACATTATATTTGGACTGTAGAGCTAGAGGAGAACTGGCCCCTTGGTGTTCCCTGGTTTCTCCCAAGTTTTTTCTTATTTTTTCCATTATCCATCATGAAATGAAGGTTTTCATTCCTCGCCATGAAGTGTTTCCATCCAAAGCTGTGAATTTAACTTGTGTGCAAAATTGGAATATCGCACGAAAACGTAACCAGTACGGTGACAGCAAACGCAGTGCAAATCATGTCTTCGTTCTGTGTGGATCCTATGTTCATGTAAAGAGACCAGGAAATGAGGCAAAGACCCAGTCTAAAGCCCCTGAGGTTGTGGTTAGGGGTTAAACAGATTGTAGTTGATCTATACGAACCAGGCCCGCATTTGTGATTCATCATTGAGTGAAAGTTTATCATTTGCAAGTGTTTTGTCTTGCCAATTTAGTACTCACGTGCTGTTATCTGTGAGTACAGCTGCACATAATGAAGCACACACAAAGAAAGGCACATTTTAGACAGCACGACCCAAACACCTAATTCACCAAAAACACATTCCCATAAAGTTGTCAAAATACCCGTGGTAATGTCTTAAGTAAACGTACATAGTTAAGAAAGAAATCTGCTGTGTATCATCATATTGGATCCATGCATTCAGTCTTAAAGTGACAGAAATCTATAAATAACTTTATCTATTTATGTCATTAATGTTAATCAAACAACAAAAATATTTAATTTATACACTATTATTTAAATACACTATTTTACATTTGGCCTGAATTATTACATGTCTCTACCTGAATATTACATTTAGACTTTGACATTGTTTTATTGTCTATGCTTGTAATTAGTGTATTTGTTCTTATTATTACCCCCTCCTCGTGGTGGTAAAATTAATTTTAAATACTACATCAAATTTCATTTTAATAATTTTCCTGTGTCTGATCTTGCAGGTAATTGGTGCAGCTCCAACCTAGATGCCTGTGATCCTGCACTGGTCACAAAATGCATTAAAAAGGAAAAGAACAATACTGAGGATGATGACAATGAAATTTTACAAAAACTCCAACGAGATGATGTAAGCCAAGTCACAATGACCCTTTATCATCTTGAAAGTTAATCAATAGTATATTAATGTTTTTTTTCTGGTTTAATTGAGCAGTTTTTGGATGATCCTGGATTAAAAAATGATCCCAAGCAAAGACCAATCAGACTTCCACTCTATCAGTCATGCTCATTTTTGTCAACAGAGGCAGCTAGTTCATGTAAGTCACAGTTTATTTATGCCAGCAGTAATTTGATTTTTTATTGCCAGTTAAATCGTTTTCTTGCTACTTGCAGTTAAGAACTGAATCCAATACATTTTTTGCAGTTAAAGAGAGAGCATCTGATAATGTACTGAAATACCCGCTGCCATTGAAGGGAACATCTACATTCCCGCAACAACCAACAGTTGGAGAACTTTTCCAGCAGTTAAGTGTTTCAGATCAGGAAGAACTACTGCTTATTCAACTTCCTGATACCTTACCTGGTCAACCTAAAACCTCGAGCCCAGAGAAAACAAAAAAGGACGACAAAACTAAAGACAAGCGCTCATCACAAATTAAAACTACGGTAAGTTTACGTTTCATATTATGCAACTTAAAGGCGTCATGTCAGTTGTTTTTTTCTTTGCCATACGTTTGCATGTTTTGTTTTTTTTTTATGAAATTTTTTTTTCCACTGTATATCACACAAGTTGTTTTGGAGCTCAGCTTCAGAAAGTTACATAATGTACGTTATTTGTAACGTGTTACTCTCAACACTGCTCTTTTTTCACAAGGCTTTGATTTCTGTATATTATTAGTATGATTTCATAGCACACTCATAAAAGAGTTTGATTCCTCATGAAATTATCGCTTGAAGGCAAATCACATTAAATTACAAACATTTAATATCATCTTCAATGTCCCCTTTTAATGCTATGATATCATTTTTTCAGGATCAGCCTGATAAAGTACCTTTGCTGTCGGACTTCTCAGAGGGTCTGATTGGAAAACTGCAAATTAGAAAGTCTGGTAAAGTCCAACTGGCCATGGGAAATGTTACATTAGATGTCTCGGAGGGAGCGGCCTTCTCTTTCCTACAGGTAAGTTAGCACATTGTCATTTTAGCAAGTATAGCAAAATAATCTAGGAAAGATTGATAGATAAAATCAGTTTGGGACTCGCTCATATTGATTTAAATCAAAGCCTTTTGAAGTATAATTATTACATCAAGCCATAAACCAATTCCTGTTTTTCTGTCCTCAAATTTAAAGGGATACTACACCTTTTTTTTGGAAATAGGCTCATTTTACAACTCCCCCAGAGTTAAACTGTTGAGTTTGACCATTTTTGAATCCATTCAGCCGATCTCCGGTTCTGGCGGTAGCACTTTTAGCATAGCTTAGCATACATCATTGAAGTGCACCAGACCATTAGCATTTCTCCCAAAAAAATTACCAAAGAGTTTTGACATTTTTTCTGCAACTGATAGGCTGTGCACTGTTGCTCGATATTACAATCTCTCTTTAAAGGTAGCTAGTGGAGACGTATTAACATTCACAATCTAAAATCATGATTTCGCCCAACCCCTTGCTTGGGGCTATCAGTATGTTTGAAACTGCATGCTGTTTGAGTAGGTAATAATTTTCAATTTGAATTTACTTTGCGTTAAAATGTATGTTATATATAGTATGAATGTAATCCGGACGTACTAACTATATCCACCATGTTCATGTCATCATCATGTGACCTACCAGCGTCAATAGAGTGCCAAAGTTACGACATCACTCTATAGGCCAAAACGCGGAAATGAGTTTGCATTTTAGAACTCCCGGTTTCCTCGCTCTAAAGCCTATGTGATTTTTGAATGGGTTTTTGCTAAATCGCCTGAAATAAGGTCTGTGGTGAACAAAGCCTCTAAATATTTTCTCATAAAACACACCAGATAAAACCTGCTTGTGTTTTTTTTTTTTTTTTACACTTTATTGTGTCTGCTTGTGTTTTTTATTTTATTTATATAGGCTTCAAAATGTATACATTTTAGATTAACTTGTAAAGATTATCTTGATAGACAAAATATGTAAGGGTCACAACTCTTTGTTGAACACAGTTCATATTTTTTGCAATTTTCCAAAAGTCTATGGGGAACCCATGTGCCGCTAGCTTCCGAGTTGTCCTACAAAGTGACGTCATCACTTCGGCACTCTATTGTGTCGCTTCACCGCCATTTAAAAATCCTCTCCCATGGTCTCATGGGATAATAAAGTGTCCATTGAATGCGCACTTCAGAATTTCGCCTAAAGTAGTAGGTCATCCGGCGACTTGTTTTCGAATACTATGGCCCTGTCCCAAATGGTACCCTATAGCACTCGCGGTCTTCCTACGAGTCCGCAGTATCGTGACGTAAGGCTGCTTTTACTGTCGGGAAGAAGTCTGCTGACCTCACATCAGTGCAGACTCTGCAAAAGTGCGTTGAGGCGCTCTACGACCGCAAAGGGGGCAGTCCTGAAAAACCTAAAATGACAAATGGGACACCCTATAGTCTCATGGACTCAACACATATGCACACGCGGCAGCCATTGTAAGTACACAAGAAATGTACCATTTGGAACAGGGCCTATGTATTCGAACGTACTACTCTGTTTAGCATGCTATATAGTAGAGAATTATTTGATTATTCGGACGCAGCGAAGGTGTCGGAAATATTTTTGTCCCCACTGTAGCATTCTGGATTGCCAAGCTGATATTGAAGTCAACTGGATCCATTTCATGCACTGATGTTATTTACATGAAAGATGTTTCTATCTCCAGCAACTTGTTTGTGTGCGGCTGTCGGAGGGCCTCACCGGGGACATGACTGTGCTAGGAAACGTCACACACAAGCTGGTGTGTTCACCTGATTTTGAGACTTTACTGCAAGAAGCCAAATTGACATCTAATCTCTGCTCGGCTTCAAAGTCCTGATTTGTCAAACTCCACAAGAATATTTAAAATAATGTAAATAGCTGTTTTTAAATGTAACATTTTTAAATGAGGTTTTGTGTCCTGGTTTTGTTAAGCCTAATTGTGAGGGCACTTGATTTTTATTTAAAAGGGATAGTTCACCTAAACTTTTGTCACATGTTTCATGTCATTAAACAGATTTTGGGGAAATGGAATGGAAAAAGGCAGCTTATACATTCCTTAAAATATCATAATTTGTTTTAAGGCGTGTTCACACCAATAACTAATGATAAAGATATATAGAAAACTCTACCATTTAAAGTGGCAGATGACAAAAAAGTATGTTTGTAATAAACAGAACTTAGTAATTCGTTGTTTTAGACGCTTATTAAGTTTTAGTTCTTGGTGTGAACGGGGCTTTGGACAGAATAAAAGTGATACAGGTTGAGAATGTGACGTCAAGTAAATGATTGTTATCACTTTGGGGTGAACTATTCCATTTAACATTAGAAAGCACACATGAACTTTTAAAAGCTTTCATGAACTTGTATAGCATTCTATTGTAAATACCTTCTGTTGCTTTTATATAAAATGTGAATGTTTATTTTGTAGATAAAGATATACAAAACATGGTGTCCTCTTTCAAAGCATGATATGCAACTCATTCTAAGCAAATGAAAACTGATGTCAGTAATACAGTTTATGAAAAGTAGCTAAAAGCAAAATAGAAATTAGTCAGTCACAGGTCTTCACAGCCTTCGTGCTTTGAACACTATAAATGCAGCTCTAATAACGGAAAGCACAGGCTTTTTATTGAGGACGGAACTGGCTTTTGTACAACACTCCGTCTACCAGAGTCATACATAATCTTACTACTTAATGCTCTTTACAGTCTTTTTCACGGCTGTTTTAGCAACTTCAGCCTTCTTTTTTGGCGCTTTTGCCTTTACCACTGTTACTTTGGATTTATTCTTTCTGTCTGCGATGGCTTTAGCTTTGGCTTTAATGGATCTCCTCTCTTTTCTCCGAACAAGGTCTTCCCTTCCAATCTCAATCATGTGCTCCTCCCACGATTTTATTTCGTTCTTGTAACGGACTTTGTCATCCTCTGCCAGCTGTGTGTACATCTAAAAAAATTAAGCAGTTAAGTCAGATTAAGAAAGCCATAGGCGACGTTCTCACAGCAGCAGAATCGGTTGTCAGTACTGTATTTGAGTTCTTAATACATTTATGTTCACACACACACACAGTACAGTTATTTATGGGAGTGACAACCGCATGCTTAGAAAACCCACACTGTGTGAACGAAACGGATGTGACATGGATGTGTGGTTCGACTGGACTCTTACTATAAAAAGTGATACGATTTTTCAGTTCTATGGACGTAGAAATATTTGACATCACGTTGGTCACGGTCGCTATGGTTACTGGTTGCTAGACTCCCTTTGCACATTCATACAGACAGTATTCAAGATGCTACTCTAAGTTGCTGTGTGAACAGGACATTGAGACACCTTGAAAGTGAATGCGGTTGTCAATCCTAAAAGCTGACAGTGTGAAGTGAATATGGCTATAGTGAGCTGTCAGTTATTATCTAAATAGCCTAATTATGATGAAAATCTAAGGGAGAAATTATCCTTCACAGAGAAAGCAGTTCTGTTGACAAGCACAATTCCCAATCAAACAATTAGTATTACAATTTAAAATAACAGTGTCTATTTGAATATATTTTTAAAGTGTATTTTTTCCCCGTTATAAACTACAAGTTCAGTAGTTTAAAAGTCTTCAGTGTCATGATTCTTCAGAAATATGCTGATTTGCTGCTCAATAAATATTTCTTAATTATTATCATCAATGCTGAAAACAGTTGTGCTGCTTAATATTTCTGGGAAATCGTGACACTTTTTTTAGGATTCTATAATGAATAGAAAGTTGAAAAGAGCAGCATTTTTTATTAAGTCGAGTCTTTTGTATGCTTTACATGAGTAGTGCTATTTACGCTATATAATGCTGCTTATGTAGTGTTTCAAATCAGACACTTTTATGAGTTGCCTTAAATGGCAGCAGTCTATGCAGACTCACTAGAGATTATGGAACAGAGCTATTGTGTGCCACTTTTGAAATAAAATATGCTCAATTTGGGTACAACTCACTTGTTTCTGTGTGATGTTGAATCGCATCCAATTGTCTCTCAGCGACTTCATCTTTGCCTGGAAGGAAAAATAACATTAAACAATTGTTGCAACAATATGAAATACTTAAATGGTATTTTATGGAGATATTTTTTTAGGTTTTAACAGTCTATATCAATTTTGTTATAAACCTCAATTATATCAATAAGCTAAATTCAAACAGCTATACTTGGTGCTAAATATCCAGTCTCCAAAAATAAATATATTATCTCCCTTGCAAAAATAAATAAAATGATTTGTACATAATATACAAGTTTGAAAATTCAGAGTCAGTAAGATTTAAAAAAAAAAAAATTTTACACTAATTCAACAAGAACAAATTAAACAATTCAAAAGTAAAGACATTTATGTTTTCACAAAATATTTTAGTGAATAGAATAAATGCCATTCTTTTAAACGTTCTATTAATCAACGTGTCCTGAAAAAATTTATCCCAGTTTCCTTTCAACATTTATAATGATCAGAAATGTTTCTCGAGTCAGCAAATCAGCATAACAGAATGATTTCTGAAGGATCATGTGACACTGAAGCCTGGAGTGATGATGCTAACATCATTTTGCATCACAAAAATACATTACATTTGAAAATGTATTCAAATTGACAACAGTTACTTAAAATTTTAATAATATTGTACATTAGTACTGTTTTTACTGTATATTTGACCAATAAAATCCAGCCTTGGTGAGTATAAAAGAAAATATTTAAAAATCCTACAGACCCCAATGGTAATGTATGTCCAATTTTAGCTATAAACTAAAGTTCATCTTCACCTGCACAGTAGTTCCCTTTGCTTCCTCAAAGTGCTCCGCCATGAAGATGTTGAATGCGCTCCTGGGACGTTTGGGCTTGCCAAGACTATTCAGCTCCTACAGTTAAAGTACAATATCCCATTTAAAGCCACAATATGTATTTTTTCTGCTTTAAAAATAGCAAAAATAACTGTATCTATGTTCTATATTTCTATTAGATGTGTACTTACATTAACCCGACAGTTTCCACCAACTTTCAAATACGGAGAAATTTATAGTTTAATTCGAAGACACGGGATGTTTCTTTATTTCCGTTTCGTCGCCCGTCTATGGCGTCATATAACCTTTGACTCCTCTATTTTCTCTAACTTCCTTGCGGTACCCGGCGAAACCGCCAAACACAAAGGGGAACACTAGACTACCGCCAATAAAGCAAAGAAAATGACGAAGAAAAAAAAGTAGTACGTATTTTTATGAGTGTAAATCACGTGCCCGCTCACGAGCGCTCACTCTTAACAGACACTGTCCTCGGTGCTGCTCGCGCATAAAGCGCTCCCCTTTCGCAGTAACCGGGTCGTCTCATTCAAAACAGCCAACTGTCGCTGTTAGCGAGCCTCGCACATTGAATACTCATATGAGTCAGGCTGCGAATGTACGTGCCCGCTTCAGCACGCTCATGCTTACTAAATAAACGCCTCACCTCCGGCGCCGCGCACTCACTACATTCCCTTTAGCCTTTAGCACATAGTGGATGCATAACGCAAACCCAGTCAAACGTTTGACTGCAGTATCTTATGTACTTTATAATCCGGTGCGCCGTATATATGAAAAATGTTCTAAAATAGGTCATTCATTGAAGGAGCGTATTATAAATACTTATATTCGTCTGTATTATAGTTATGGACCACGATTACGCTTTGCCTGCACGTTCTGCTGCTACAGCCAGCTCAGTAAAGCTCAAACGTACGGGTGAAAAATATGACCCGAGAAGGGTTTGGGACAGGAGAAAAAGCATGACACAGGTAAACATTGGGGTTGCATTTAAAGCTTCTTGACAAGCTAAATCTACAGAGATGCTGTATATCCGTATATTTTGTGAAACGATGATGTCATGCCATGAGCTGAGCTGGTTGTCATTGACAGCGAAAACAACTCCCGTGAGCCCACGCTCTTTCCCGACGTCATCAAAGTACTTTTTTTGTTATTATTTTAAATGAGTGACCCCTGGTGGCCAAAAATCACATACTGTATGTTTAACAGAAATCTAAATGCTTAATTTATCAAAACCTCAGAACCTAAGTTATGCAAAATAAACCAAGGATGAATATAGTATAAAGGGAATAAAATAATATTTAGTCATTGTAAAGATTCTCAGAGGTGGTTTTGTGTAGTAGTTACGTGACAGAGGTCAACGCTCACCTTCTTTCTCCTAATTGCTTTTCTTTTGGCCACTCTTTGTCGCTTTTCCTCAGCAATAGCAACAGTCTGTGCAGGGGTGAGTTGGGCTTTGTATGTCTCCAAAGCAAGCTTATACTGCTTCCTGGATTCCAAAGATGAATCCTGAAATGGCTGCACATGTGACAGTTCAAATTAGTGGCTGACAGGAAGTTTACAACACCAATAACTAAAGAAAATATTGTCTGATAAAACGTGAAGATCCACAATTAAAGGCAAAAATTACAAAAAGGACCAGATATTTAAAATAACCCTATAGTGAATTCCTGTTGTTGTTGTTTTCTCCACTTGTTATGATACATTTTATAGACCATTTCACAAGATGTAAACAACACTGGTCCAGAAGCACTTCCTGTTTCAGTTTTTTAACACCACATAAAAGCTGGGATAAAATACAACCAACAGAACATTTAAAACTGAATCAAAAAGTTAAACAAACATCTTTACATGTGAAATAAAGAAAACTGTTACAAACTGAAACAGGAAGTGCTTCTGGACCAGTGTTGTTTACATCTTGTGAAATGGTCTATATTTTATTTAATTATATATCGTTCTAGACCTATCTAGTTATGGATTTAGTGTTGATTGTTCAGATTTATGATTTATTTCATTATTGATTTATTCCAATATTGATCCCAAGATTAATCTTTTAGTCTATTGTGTTCTGTCATTCAAGCTGCAAATTTTCAAAATATATGCTCAATAATAAATATATGAATATTACATATTCATTACATTTTACTTATCCTGTTAGCTGGTGTATTTAATGCATGTTAAATAGATTTGCCAAATTATTTTTAGGACAGCAAGCGTTTAAATATTTATAACAAATTGTCATCCTCAAATTGTCATTGGAGTAGAAACATGGTAATGTTCTTAAATATATATATATAAAACTGCCTTGTGTGCAATTAAAATGTTGGTATACAATTAAGTTTTCATTTGAGTATTGTTTGATATCTCTAAAAGTAAATATCAATTGAATTTAATAATTTTAACTTTGAATAGCAATATACTATTTGAATAGTAATATACTATCTGACAGGGTTCCCAGTCATAAATTCTGTCAATAACCAGCCCTGGTTTTATTATATATAAATGTATTATTAGCTTTAGCAAACATGCGTGTGATTTTTGGCAAATACATTTTATAGTAATGGATTTGCACATATGTAAGCTGGCATTTTACACAACATTCATTCAAAATACAGCAATAAATAAATAAACGTATATGAAAGCAGGAATGTACCTGCTTCTGTTCTGGAGTCAGCATTCTCCACTTCTCTGCTAACTTTCGGACAATATCCACATTTTTCAGTCCTAAGCAAAATAGATTGTTCTTTATCTTGAAAAAAAAAAAATCAGAAATGCAAGGTAGGCTACCACTGCGACTCGAGTGGACATTACCTGGGTTCTGTCTGCTGAAGCTGGGCTGCATCTCCTTCACATATGTCATGTATCCTGTCAGAGGTCTTTTAGGTGGACCTCCAGTTGTGGTGCTAAAACTCCTTATCACTGGAGCAACACATGAACACCTACAATTGCAAAGCAATGGCATTATGCAAAACTGTCACGGAATAGAAAATTAGTGGGGATTTATGTAGTAAAAAATACAAAATAACACAAAACGCTCCTTAGACCTAACGAAAAACTTCAATACTGTCACTATATCCTGCATTAACTAATCATATATGCTTCAGTAAAATTGTGAAAAATGAATGTATAGCTGTTTATACATTTCTGAATGTTTCTGACGCACATATTGCGAAAATAAAATCCATTAGATATGATACATTAACTAATAAGCAGACATGCACGAATAACCTTAAACTTGCAGCATGCTCACCTCACAGCAGATGCACTCGAGAACAGACTCAAAGACTTGACCAAAAGATTAGCACCGACTGACATCAAGCTAAACGGAGCCATCGTGCACGTGCTGAGTTTTTCACAATAATATCAGTCAGATATTTATTATGCACGGTGAGAACAATACACAAAAAAGCTGGCCAAAAAAATGCTGTTATGGTTCCTCCTCCCCCTGTTAAGGCGCCATTTCCATCTGCAGTTCGACCGAAGTGCATTATGGGACAATTATCACCTAAAAGTTTATAAAAGTACTATCACAAAATTAACATTTGAAAATAGAAAAAGTGACACAACGTTAAAGTATTTATATTAAATTAACGTTATATTAAAGTGTAAAGTATTTCACAACGTTAAAATAAATAACGTGACATGAAATGGAACCGTTTGTATTATTTATTTATTTATGGACTTTTACCATTTACTATTTTGTTTATTTATTTATTTATTTTTAAAAATCTAAAAAATAAGTTTGCCATTGAAATAAACCTTCCTACGAGCCCTTTACCTTTTACATATTTAGAATTATATATAAAAAAGTGTCCTTGGGTACAACAGGATTTGATTTGATATGTTGGAGTTATTTCAAATCTTATCATCCATCGATCCCAAAAAAGCTTATAATGTTCAATGCTAAATTTGGTTGTGGGATGTTTCATTTCTAGAAATTTTGTACAGTCTTTTATTTTACTTTTTTTGTTTTTCATTGTTATCATTATTACTATCCCTTTATTTTTTTCTATTCCTTCTATTATTTGTTTGCTATATGTCTCTATTGTACGTATTTCATACATTTAGGCAACACTGTGAAAGCTAACACTCGTGCAAATGTTGTTGTTGTTGTTGACGCTTCTCCTTGTGCTTCTCTGGACATGAAAAAATACATAAGGACTTTTATTTAGTTTTTTTCAGCTCCGCACCGGAAGTGTGAGCTTGCTGGGCTACAGCTGTCTCTCTTTCTCGCCGCTCTCATTCGTTTTTTTACTCAGGGAAACACAGTATTGCTGAGCTGTTTCGTAGCAATAATATCGGACAGATAATATAATCGCGTAAATCTGGGGCGGTACACACAGTGAAGCAGCATGGCATTAAAGAGAATACAGAAGGTAAGACCTTTGTGCGTGAATGATAAACATTGATTAGCCAAGTTTTTGTTTGCCTTGCTTGTGTTGTTAATGTCAAATATCGGGGTTAAAATAAACATCTACATAACTAACACTGTTTTATTTGTTATGGTTTTGCGTTGGTAGTCTGCATCAAGTCAAACCGATTCAGAATATTGCCTAACGTTATATCTTATATGTCGACGGTAAATGTGGAATGTAGCATATAATGGCTAACTAGCAGTGTTTCTTCCCTCAAATCATGACGTTTTACGCTATTTATTGAATATATACTGTTAGTACTGTAAATAAATATGTGATTTTCTTAATTGTCAGTAATGCTGATAAAACCAGAACTTAAAGTGACGCGTCAAGGTTGTCAGTCAACCATCGTATTGTGTTTGTGGGCGAGCAACGATATACATGTAAAATCAAACAATCGCGTAAATGAGTCATTTGTTTACATCAAGACGTTCAGTTTATTAAACCCCTTACCGACAAAACCAACTGAAGAGATACATCTATTCAATAATTAACATATTTTGTGTTCTTTTCTTCCGTGTTCGAGAAGGCCCAGAGCTGAACAAAGACAGCAAACCTGCTTCAGCATCGGTAGCTGCCACACTAAACGAGGCCAATTTTGTGTGGATTCATCCACTTTCACAAGCCACTTTTGTGTGCTTTGTTAAACCTCACAGCTGATGTGACATTTCGAGTGACTTTGGCTACAATTGATATGGTGTAGTTTATCTGAATATGGTCGGTAGGCGCTATTGTGTTTTGTGTTTGACACAAAGCAACACAACCTGATTCTCTGAAGTTCCAGCGTGACGCCATCACTTTGCCATTTTGACAGTTTCTGTTTCGCAACACTGTGAATCGCACTTAGACATTGTTGTTAAACACCCTACCTAGTCGCAAAGTCCTTACCAGAAGGCACATCTATCCACGTCTATTAAAATTGGCTCATGTTCAGGCCGGGTCATCATTGTTAATATTGTGCTATCATTTAAAATGTGTATTGTTACATATTTTTTTATATTGAAACTTGACTGTCTAAAGCCTGACATTAAATAACAGTCTACTGAAAAATCTAAACCTTTGCTAAAGTAGAAAATCAACTTTTTTGAGAGAACCATTTTGATTGAAGCCTTTAGGCAAAATGTTAAAAATTAGGTGACACTTTAAGATGTCCATTTTACAGTGTAATTATACATGCTGAGTAATATTAATTGAGGGTTAGTTTACCCAAAAATGAACTCACCCTTAAGCCATCCTAGGTTTATATGACTTTCTTCTTTTAGCCAAAAATAATTGGCGTTATATCAAGCTTTATAATGGGAGTGCAAAATAACTTCACAAATGTGCATCCATCATAAAAGTAAAGGTTAATAAAGGCCTTCTGATGCGAATCTATGATTTTTTGTAAGAAAGGATCTTCTTATTCATAGTTTTATAAACTATAATCATTTACTGCCTCCCGGTAACAGTGGTACAAGTCTAGTTTCATCGTTTGTTGTTTAGTTACATCGTATAAGGCTAGTTCTGGCTGATGACGAACCTGGAAGTGCAGAGGTTAGTTAGAGCAAACAAAACACCGGTCACGAATTAGAAGTTTTAAATGAGAATTTTTAAAGAGAAATGTCAGTGGAGCTTAAAGGAGTAGTTCACTTAAAAAAAAAAAAAAAACTTTTGCTGATAATTTACTCACCCCCATGTCATCCAAGATGTCCATGTCTGTCTTTCTTCAGTCGAAAAGATTTTAATGTTTTTGATGAAAACATTCCAGGATTTTTCTCCATATAATGCACTTTACTGGGACTCAAACGGTTCAAGGTCCAAATGACCGTTTCATTGCAGCTTCAAAGGGCTTTAAACAACACCAGACGATGAATAAGGGTCTTATCTAGCGAAATGAAATGAACAAAAAAAACTTTATTTATTTTTGAAATGCCTGATCGTTTCGCTAGATAAGCCCCTTATTCATCGTTTGGTGTCGTTTAAATCCCTTTGAACAGTTTCCAGTTTGCACTGAAAATGTCATTTGGACCTTTGAGTCCCAGTAAAGTGCATTATATGGAGAAAAATCCTGGAATTTTTTCATCAAAATCCTTAATTTCTTTTCGACTGAAGAAAGAAAGACATGGACATCTTGGATGACATGGGGGTGAGTAAATTATCCGCAAAAGTTTTTTTTTTTTTTTTTTTTTAAGTGAACTACTCCTTTAAGTTTGTTGTCCAGCCCTATTTATTTAAAATGCAAGAGGTGTCAACTCTCCTACATCCTACGTCATGCGTGAGTCAGGTCAGAGGTCACTCTTCCACTGGAACTCAACTCGCGTACGGCCATTACCGGAAGCCAGTAATTATAGCTTATAAAGTTATAATTTTGGAGACTGTTCTTACAAAAAAGCACCTGTTCGCTTCAGAAGGCCTTTATTTTAACCCCCTGGAGCCGTATGAGTGACTTTTATGATGGATGAATGCACTTTTTTGTGCTTCAAAAAACAAGGTACTATTTACTCCCATTATAAAGCTTGGAAGATCCAGAATATCATTGTCATTATCATATATGTTTAATATAACTCTGATTGTGTCTGGCTCATATATTTGATACATTAGGATTTTTGGCCTATAAAAAAATGATCTTGTAAGAATATGGAGCTCACAGTATTTTATCCAGATGCCCAAACTAAGCAAAAAATGTAGTTTTGGTGCAGTTACTGTTATTTTTATATACAAAAATGAAGATGAAATTATTTGTAATGTTAATCAATGAGATATTTTTAACAGAATACTTGCATAAAATGCATTTACATGTCAATGGTCACTCTATATCTTATAATAATAGTAAGATGATATAAAGGCTTAGCTTTATTTTAGTTTTTATTTTGGAGGCAAAACATAAAATTGATTGAGAGTTTACATATAAACATTAATCAACCTGATGTATTGTATTTGATGCATATTATTTTTTCAAGTGAAGCTAAATTACTTTAGTGCAGTATATGTTCATCTTGAAATAGTAACAATATAAGTTATTCTAATGTTAACTTTATGATAATAGATTATAGATTTCACAGCAGAAAGGCGAGTGTAACGACCTGACGATAGACGGTTTGAGAATCATACTGTTTACTTTACTTGCAAACGGAAGTAGGAACCGTCAATCATGTATAAGGAATTTCATAGATTGTGTACAACAGGTTTTTCAAAAAATGTTTTGATCATGTTGACAATTTAGATGCTTATTATTTATGTATAAAATACGTCTAGGGCTAATAAACAATACAAAGCCCTGTGATCATTTTTTCAAACCCAATTTGGATGCCAGTATCTGAAGCCTCACTTAAAAATGGATGAATGACATCCTTGTTTTTAAGGTTGCACATTTCTCAAGCGCATAATATTTAAAAATTAGCGTACATTTTTATTTCTATAGTCCAGACATTCTACTATAAGTACCTTTGCATCTACATGTCAACTACCAGTCATTAGAGTATTAGTAGACTGTTCATATCTGCTAACGCTTTATTTTGATGTTCCCACAACAGACATTCTCCTGACTGACAACTTATTTTACTAACCCAACAGTCTACTAATACTCTAATCACTGTGGTAGTTGACATGTAGTTATTTTCAAAATGAAAGCAAAGATCGTTGTGCCATTTTGTAGTTAACAAAAGTTAGTAGAACTTGGTTGATGGTTATGAACCACACATAAGTGGTTACTTTGATAGGGCAACTGTGTGAACTGACTGCATACATTCTGTTTTTCCACTAATGTATTTTTTTTTTAATTGAATCCTTTTTTCCCCCCTATTTCAGGAGCTTCAAGACTTGCAGAGGGACCCTCCTGCTCAGTGCTCTGCTGGACCGGTTGGTGATGATTGTAGGTTCACTGTTAGTCTATTAAATTAGGTTGCTTTACATAACATCTGACACAGCGGACAAATTTCAATAATCCTCTTTTTGCATTTGTAGTGTTTCACTGGCAGGCAACAATAATGGGACCTGTAAGTACTCTTTATCAGCCTTGAGCAGTGTGCTTTGCTCAGTAATACTTGCTGAATGTGATAATGTGGTGTTTTAAAGTGAATTAAA